AGATTCCTGTTTCTTGGTTATTCAACCAAAGATGTGTCTAGGTAAGGCTGTGTAAGGGTTTTGTTGATGTTGTTCAAGTCCCAATTCAGTTAACTTTAGAATAAAGGGATTATCTGGGTGGGCCTGACCCAATCAGGTGAACTCCTTTGAAAACAGAGTCTTTCTCCAGCTGGTAGCAAAAGAGAAAGTCAAAGAGATTCAAAACATGAAAAGGACTCAAAACACTGTTGTTCTTTTGAAGAAGCTAAGGACCACATGAGAAAGAATGCAGGCAGTCTCGAGAAGAAAGCTACCCTCACTGAGGATGGGAAGAAAATGGAAACCTCATAACTACACCCTAAGCAAGTAGACTCTGGCAACAAGAAGAATGAGATTAAAGCAGATTCTTCCCCAGCCTCCCGATAAGAACCCATCCCAGCTGACACCTGACTTGAGTCTTACTGGACTCTATACAAGGAATCTAGTGGAACCCTCCTGGACCTCTGACCTATGGAAATCATGTGATTATTTGCTACGCAAAAATAGAAATGTAATGGAAATGACTAAATAGCTATATTATGGATCATATGAATGGAAGGCATTGTTACTTGTACAGGAATATTCCACGTATTTAGTTAGAAAGTACTCTTCTCCAAGAACTGTGATATGTGATGAGAATACAACTCTTTCTATTTCTCTAATCAAAGACAGCTTATTGCATTTATCTAATTCTTAGTGTCTTCTTTAAAATCATGGAGATAATCGGGGTGCCTGGGTGGCTCAGTTGGTTGAGTGTCCAACTTCGGCTCGGGTCATGATCCTGCAGTTTGTGAGTTAGAGCCCCGCGTCGGGCTCTGGGCTGACAGCTCAGAGCCTGGAGCCTGCTCCAGATTCTGTGTCCCTCTCTCTCTCAGCCCCTCCCCTGCTCTTGTTCTGTCTCTCTCTCTCTAAAATCATGGAGACAGTCTTATGTCACAGAATGCATTTTTAAAATAAATAATAAAATAAACCTCAATCAGTGAAAATATCTGTCCAAAACTTGATGCAATGAACATCAGCTTCCCTAAAGGACCATGTTAGAAAGAGCACAGCTCTCAGAACCAAACTATCTGGATTCATATTTTGTATGAGTCTCAATTTCCTTATCTATAAAGTGAAAATAATGCCTGTCCTCTCTATTTCAGAGATTTTTGTTAGGATGATGTGTCTGCGAAAGTTGACCATACAAAAGCAAGATATCTTTTAGCTATATTTAGCAGCAGTGGGGAAGGTTTTCATGGACCAGACTCATGCTTTCTGCCTTTACCATGTGACTGGGCAGCTGAGTTGACCAAGAACCAAAGAAGAAAAGAGAGCAGAATCGAACACCATGTAAATAAGAGCTGCATGGCATTTGGACCCTACTTACATGTTCAGAGACCCACATGCATTTTTATGCCACCCTATACTCTCACACTGATCCCTTAGCAAGTGGCCCGTTCAGCTGAAGAAAGGGATTCTTTTTATTTTTTATGTTTTTCTGTGCACAGACGTGGTTTGCTCTCATATACTCTTAAATCCTAAATCCTGGTGCACTGCTTCATCTGCCCAGAAGGGGCATCTTTCTCTTACTTGTACAACACTTAAGGTAGGCTAAACAAAAAACAAAACACACACACACACACACACACACACACACACACACACACACACACATATATATATATATTATTTTAAACTATAAGCTTCTAGGGGCACCTGGGTGTCTCAGTCCCTTAAGCCTCTGATTTGATTTTGGCTAAAGTCATGATCTCAAGGTCATGAGATTGAGCTTCACGTTGGCTCTGTGCTGAGCATGGGGCCTGCTTGACAGTCTCTCTCTCTTTCTCTCTCTCTCTTTCTCTCCCTCTCTCCCTCTGCCCTTCCTCCCACTCACGCAACTCTCTCTCTCTCCAAAATTTAAAACAAAACAAACAAAAAAAACTTCTAAATGTCATTCAATAGAGCACTAAGCTCTTCCAAAACTTATATTAAGAAGATGTTTAGAAACCTGATTTCATTTCTGCAAAAGACAATGTCAAACAAATGAGTAAACAACAGACAAACTGGGAGAAAATATTTGTAAAATGCACATCTGATGAAGATCCCTTAAAGTTTACTTATAAGAAAACAAAACCTAATTAAAAAATGGGCCAAGGACCTTAACAGACCCCTCATCAAAGAAGACATACAGAGGGCAAATGAATGTATGAAAAGATGTTCCACATATATGTCATCAGAGAAATATAAATTAAAGCAACAATGAGATACCACTACATACCTGACAAAAACTGGCCCAAATCCAGAAACACTGACAACAGCAAATGCTGATAAGGATGTAGACCAACAGGAACTCTCATTCATTGTTAGTGGGAATGCAAAATGGCGCAGCCACTTTGGAAAATAGTTTGTCAGTTTCTTACAAACCACATACACCCTTACCATATGATCCAGTAAATTCACTCCTTGGTAACTACCCAAAGAAATGGAAAACTTTTGTCCGTACAAAAACCTACAAATAAGTGTTTATACTGTAGTGGCTTTGTTCGTGATTGCAAAAACTTGGAAACAACCAAGGTGTCCTTCAGTACCTGAATTGATACACAAACTGTGGCACATCCAGACAATGGAATGCTATTGAGTATTAAAAAGAAATGAGCTATCAAGCCATGAAAAGACATGGCAGATCCTTAAGTGTGCCTATATTACTGAGGGAAAAAGCCAATCTGAAAAGGCAACTTACTGTATGATTCAAACTCTATGACATTCCAGAAAAGGAAAAACTAAGGAGCCAATAAAAAGATCAGTGGTTACCAAAATCAAAGTAGAGATGGATAAGCAGTATACATGGGGTTTTAGTGCAGTGACAATACTACATATGATACTATAATAATGAATACGTGCCATCATACCTTTGTCTAAACCCAGGGAATACCAAGAACGAAACACGTTAAACTATAGACTTTGCGTGATTATGACGTGTCAATGTAGGTTCATCAGTTGTGACAAATGTATCACACTGGCGGAGGATGCTGATAATGAAGGATGTCATACATGTGTAGATGTGGAGTCTATTTGGGAAATCTCTGTCCCTACCTCTTAATGTTGCTGTGGACCTACAACTGCTCTACCAAAAAATAAAGCCTTAAAAAAATCCAGTTTATAAAAAGCATCGAGTACATTTCCGAAACAGAATATATTAGTAAATACTTTGGTAATGTGGCTGAATTTAAGGTTACTGTTTAAGAACAACTGTAAATGGAAGGGCCCCCAGTGATATTTAATAAGGCACTTATGACAAGCAACCAGTGAGTGAATGAATGTGCACTTCCCGAAACAGTCTCCAGTATGGGTATGAAGTCCTCACTATTTCTCACTCCTTCTACATATCCATTTATAATTAGGATTACATTATGTTTAGTAATGCTTATTGAGGTGTCCCTAAGGCTTTGAGCCTTCTAAAATTATCATCTATAAAATCCAGGATAATACAATCTATTATACTGCTTTACTTTGTAGATAGGTATTAACCGATTTCCCATATGAAGTACTAACAAATAGCAAAAAAAAAAAAAAAAAAAAAAAAAAAAAAAAAAAAAAAAAAAAAAAAAAAAAAAAAAAAAAAAAAAAAAGAAAGAAAGAAAGAAAGAAAGAAAGAAAAAAAGCACTTACTAAATATATATTTAAGATGTTACTTAAGTAAAAATGGACATTTCTTTTGGTAATGATTGCAAATAATATAATTTTCATGGTATACATATACTCATGCACATTCATAAATTAGTTAGTTTCTACTTGATACAAATATTATTTGGACTGAGGTGAGATTTAGAAAATAAAGTATGGTTTCTGATTGAAATAATTCTGGAGTAAAACTGGAAGTTATTTTAAACTAAGTTTCCTGTTTTTTTTTTTTTTTTCTTTTCTATAAATATCATTTTCTCCAGGGATTCTTTCCCTCCATCTTCTCTACACAGAACCTATTCCCAAAAACCACACAACCTTTTCTGAGTCTTTTCAATGTCTTCATCACTTCTTGGATATATTAATCCATTAATTCCTTTATTTTTGCAACTGATATTGAATGAGCTCTTATCACTTGGCAGTCATTTATTTGTCATTAGGTGACAAAGAACTTGTAATTCCAGTCCTAGTCTGGTTATTTTGAAAATGAAAATTAACCAGAATGATCATAAATGAACCCACTCATGTATTCTTTATAACACTCATTTAAAAGTAATTAGTGAATGCTTATTTTCAAAGAGAATATTATGCTGAAGAAAATTCTCTAAATGGGAGCCACTTGAGCTAATTTTGCAGATGTAAAAACATAAAAATTCAGGCAGAATATAAAAAGCTGGGGTAGTCTAATTATTGATTGGTAACGGGGGACATTATAAAAGTGCATAAACCATAAGGAGCTATCACCCCACACCCACTAGAATGATTATAATCAAAAGATACATAACAATAAATATGGGTAATAATATAGAGAAATTGGACCCTCCTAGTGCTTTTGGGAATGTAAAATGTAGCTGCTTTAGAAAACAGGCTGGCAGTCCATCAAATAATTAAATACAGAGTTTCCATATGACTGAGCTATCTCACTTCCGGGTATATACCCCAAAGAAATAAAAATGTGTCTAGAAAAAACTTTCAAATGAATGTTTATAGCGGCATCTTTGATGTTAGGCAGCCGTGCAACCCACAGAACAAGCCTCATGACTAGGAGGCAAACCAAATACTCTGACTCAGGGATGGGGAAGGAGTGTCCTGTGATGTCAATCTTCCACCAGTACGCTAGGATTAAAGTAAAAAAAAAAAAAGGTATGAGATTTATTCACCACATCTGACAACGAGTAACTGCCTCTAATACGTTCTATACGCTCTGCTAGATGCTGGCACCACAAATAGAAATGGTGAGAGCCCTGCACTCGAGAAAATCTCGGTAGAAATCGTCATGTACAAGTGACATCTTTTTTAGGACACATAAAGTAGCTTACCAGTTTCTGAAGCAGCAACTGTGATGTTGTACCACGGAGTTTCTTCTCTATCAAGAACCTTTGTGGTTCTGATGGTTCCAGAATTGGCATCGATGTTGAAAACTCTGTCATCTCCGCCACTGTGGTCAATGAAGTATCTAGGGAAGGAAAGAGATAATCCTTCCTTTTACACAAGGATATAATGAAGACAACAAATAAAACTAAAACAAGGGCAGTATTAAACCAGATATATTCACATAGTAAATGCACATGTTTCGTTTCTATATTTGCCTCTTGAGATTTGCCTGGCAACTTTATATTTGCATAGAGTTGACATCAATTATTTTTTTCTGTCAGCCCTTAATTAATGTTTAGTCTAATTACTAATTCAAATTGAGAAAAACACCCTTCTGAATTTCATGAATACAATGGTAGTTACTAAAAACAGAGGGGTTAATAAGGGAGAGATGAAAAACTGCCTCTAGGAAGTCTATAGTACCTTGGAAGAAAAAAAACAACAACACTAAACTATGTTCTTTTTTTTCACAGAGAGAGAGAGCGAGAGAAAGCGCACATGCAGGGGCAGAGGGGGAAAGAGAGAGAGAGAATGAGTCCCAACCAGTCTCCACACTGCCAATGCAGAGCCTGATGTGGGGCTGTATCCCATGAACCATGAGACCATGACCTGAGCAGCATTTGGGAGTCAGATGCTTAACCTACAGAGCCACCCAGGCTGACCCTAAAAACTAAACCCTTAGTTAAACTTTCATTTCTATATGTACAAAATTTTTAGGATAACAGGAGATGTCAGAGATTAGTTTATACCGGAGTTTCATTATAGTTGAGATTGAAGAGAAATACATAATAAAAATGAAAACATTTTAGTTAACTACCATAGTATCTCCATCACCCAGCTACCTTGTTTAGTGAAAAAAAAATGAGAAAGCAACTGAATGGGAGGTAGGTCACATTATTGGCCACAAATCATCTTCCTTCCCCAATGCATAAAAGGTTGTAGAGCTCTTTCACACTGGATTTGGTCTCCAGCTTCCTTTAGCAAATTGATGAGCACTGAGTGTTGTAAGTGTTGAATCACTAAATTGCACAACTAAAACTTATATTACACTGGATGTTGACTAACTGGAATTTAAGCAAAAATTTCAAAAAAAAATCAAAAAGAAAAAAAGAAAAGAAAAAGAATGAGTTGAAAGTGACGGTGTCCTGTTTCGTATTTGGGGCAAGATTTCCGGAGACGTGGCATATCCCTCCTTATCCTCTGCCACCGACACAAAAGGAACATGGTGGGGCTGGCTGATCCACTGATCCCAGAAAGAAGATGAGAGACACAAAGACAAGGTTGTCCCCCTTCAGGGTATACCGCCTGCTAAAGCAGAGCTACCTAGTAAATGAGCGGATGCAGGATTGAATGCATTGGGGTTAAAAGAGCTGGCAAACACAAGCCAGGCTAGTTACCTTGATCTTCAGCTAGCTCAGACACACACACACAAGAGGGCTATAAATATCTGCCCCTGAGTTTTGGAGTTTTACATTATCCAGCAACAGTTTATTAACATGAACATGAATTAAAAATATAGACAACAATCATATGTTCCAAACTATTTCTAGAACTATTTAAAGAAGAGTGTTTTCTCCTCTCCTTAAATTTCTAATACTTCCCCCTTCTTCCTTAACTTCAGCTTCAGTAACATTTCATCCAGACCTGCGGAATAAAAATGAACTGATTATGTACAAAGTACCACGGGAAGAATATTTTCAATACAAGAAAGCAAAATGCAAGTATCCAAATTAAAGAAAGAACTTGATTTGGTTAAAAAACAATGTATGTCTCACTGGATAGGCAGAAAGGATGAAAGGTATGTGGCTGGGGTTAGGATAAGCAATCCATGTACCGTATGGTGGATAGTTCTTACCTTTTTAAAAAGGCAGTGAGGGATAGATAGATAGGTGGATAGATAGATGATAGATACATAGATAGATAGATAGATAGATAGATAGATAGATAGATAGATATAGATTGGTAGATATATATAGAAAGGTAGATATATAGATATATATTTTTTAGGTTTGCTTATTAATTCTGAGAGAGAGAGTGCACACACACATGCGCAGTGAGCAGGGGAGGGGCAGAGAGAAAGGGAGAGAGAATCCCAAGCAGGAAGCAGTCAGCAGGAGCCCAATGCAGGGCGTGATCTCACAAACCCTGAGATCATGACCTGAGCCAAAACCAAGAGTCAGATTCTCAACCGACTGAGCCACCCAGGCACCCAAAAGGGGAATTGTTAAACAAAGGATATCATGCACCTATTTATGTACTGGAAAAATCATAGTGGCTACTTCGACTCTTAGATTGCAGAAAGTTAACAATTCAGAAAAGAAATAATGTTGTCTTGGACAAAGGTGAAAAAGGGAAGAAAATGGAAAGAACTGTATAAAATAATGTTATGTATTGGGCACAGACTATAGAATTTTTATTGGAGGGGCAATGACTTACAAATGACTTGCTTTTCATGTGGCAGCGGTGGTGGTGATGGGGTGCGTGTGTTTGATCTAGCATGTAATTGATAAGCCTATTTATGGAGCTGGATAGAGGTAGGGGGGCAAATTATTCCCTTTGGGAGAAAAAGAATTTGGGAGAAATCAATGATTTTGACATGCTATGCCTTAGAAGTCAAGTAGATAAACGTGTGGAATAAAAACAGAGAACTGGATATGAGTGTGGAGTTCAAGTGTGTTTTCTGAATAAGAAATATCCATTTGAGATATATAAGCCTAAATTGAAGCCTAATTTAATCCTGGGAACAGTATAATTTCATCTGGGAGAGAACTGTAGGAGAAACGTTAAGTGAAGTAATGAGCACTACAGCACCCAAACTTTTGGGCTTAAGGCAGCCCAGCATCTGTACATGAGCAGGTGTTAGCAAAAGGAAAGGAACAGTCTAGGGGAAGAGACTAAGTGGGAATGGGGTGGCACAGAAGCCAAGAAAGGAAGGTATTTTAAGTGAACAATTAGAGTGAATTCTATTAAGAGGCCAAGTGAGGTTAGTAAGGGTTGATTGGATTTTGAAAGATGGGCATCATTAGTTAACTTGAAAAGAATATCTTCAATAAAATATAAAGTATGTTTTTTTTTTAAACAGTGGACTCAAGAGGATATTGAATGTGAACATATGGAGCCCCAGAGTCATGATACTTTACTGGATACCGTCATCCAAGAATAGAGATCAGAGAAAGTGCTGCCATATATCATCAGAGAAGTGGTTCAATATTTTTTTTTCTTTTATTGGGGATATTAAGCACTGTCTTTGCTGAAGGTAATGATCCTTTTAAAGAGTGAAATACCTAAAATGGTAAAATTTATGAGAAGGTGAGCGGGATTGGGTTCCAGAGAACAAATACAAGGATTTCCATCGAAAGTAACAGAGACACTTCTTCCCTTTTAGCATGAGGGAAATCTCAGAAGTTTGGTAAATACATAGGATAGATGATTGTGATGGTGGAAATATTTCAAAATTCACCATAGTTTCTGGACGAGAGTATAAATGTTGAAATACAACTCCATGCCTTTAATAGGTGTAATGTATGTAATGTAATATAACAGAATATGTAGAATTTAAGGCAAAGGTGTGAAACCTTGTAACAACCTGTGGGTAATCCTGCGCACACATTATAGAAGATTAATAGATCATGCAAATCAAAACTGTAGACCATCCTAAGAACACTAAAAGAGCCAGAATATAACCCTTGTAAACTGTGTTATCAAAGCAAGAAATAGACCATTTTGCATTGACTGTTCTAATAATAACTACATGCTAATTGAAGAAAGTTCAACATAATGAAGGCATTTAAACATGAAGAACAGGTGAAAAGCAAAACTGATTTCAGAGAAAAGGTACGAAATCCAGATGCTACAGAACAGTGGGGAAGGGCGATGTCATTGGGCTTTCCCAAAACATTAGGTCATGGTACACTGAAACTGATTTTGACTTGCATTCACATCACAAAAAATTCTCATAATATTCTTTGTCCAGAGGCCTGATGCTGAGGATGAGGGCTGGATTGCTTAGAAGTGAGAAGTCTTGTCACGGGAAAGGAATACGTTTTTTTTTAATGTAATCGGTTGGAAATCTGGGTTATTACATCATCTAAAGTTAGTTGTCATTAACCTGTCTTGAAGATACTTTCCATGTTTAGATACCCTAAAAACAGTGATTTCTGTATTGGAAAGTCAGACCTAAAATTAAAACATATTCAATTGCAAAGTTTTCTGCAAAGCTCAGATTACATTGTTATCAACACATCCCTATGAAATATGGGAGAACATGCCCCATCTTAGAAATCTGATCACTTCAGGGGCACCTGAGTGGCTCAGTCGGTTAAGCATCCGACTTGGACTCAGGTCATGATCTCACCGTTCGTGGGTTTGAGCCCCGTGTCAGGCTCTGTGCTGACAGCTCGGAGCCTGGAGCCTGCTTTAGATTCTGTGTCTCCCTCTCCCTCTACCCCTCCCCTGTCCACGTTCTGACTCTCTCTGACTTTCAATAATAAGTAAACATTAAAAAACAATTACAAAAACAAACAAAAAAAAAACAAAAAAAAAAGAAATCTGATCACTTCAGAACTGAGCCGTCAGTCTCGGGAAAAAAAAAATTGGATTTCTGTTTCTAAGCTAAATTAAGACTATAAAATGCATTGTCTCAGTATCAGGATAATCTGTTCTCTTTTAGGTACCTCACACAGAGCTTTGTAATGTAAATGCTAGCATTAGTGATTAAATACTTTCAGAATAAATATGCCCTTTAGCTGAATTAAATATATACATAAATATATTTAAATATATATATACACATATAAATATACATACATTTATATATATAAATATATATAAATAAATATACATATATACATATATTTATATATAAGTATATGTATATTTATATGTATATATATATATTTAACTTTTATTTCAAATGGTAGGTACAATGCTAGGTATGTGTCTTCAGTCTCATGTTATTTACGTCGTAGCTTTCTATGTGTCCTGACTCTCTTGGGAAATCTACAGTATAAGGGCTAGATATTAGGGGATGCTTGGATGTTGAGTCTTGTATGTGGAGTTGCAATTGAATTTCAACTCAAGTAG